TGCAGCAGGTTTAAACGTTTTAATAGGCGCCAACCTTCACCCTAACCTGAAACAATAGTGTAACATCACATCATAGAAAGACACACTATAAAATATCAATTGCAATTGCTTAACTCAATCAAAAGACATATTAACAAAAACAAGTGAACATACACTGAACGAATACATTTGATCTATGCCACAATGTAAATACAAAATTAATAAAACAAGGGGGTTGGATGTAAAACAATATCAGAAAGACAACCATAAACTTGGACAAAATGCCGCCAAATAGAATAACGTAAAAGTTAAATAAAAATAATTTTATTGTAAGGTATACATGGAGTACGGAAACATTTTTTACAAATATATATATATATATATATATATATATATATATAGTACGAGAACCGAAGTGAAAATTTATCGTCATACTAAACACTTATCAAAGGTGGTAAATATTAAAAATAGTGACACGAGATATAACACTAAATAAGTAAACATTAAATAACAAAAATACATTACAAATTTTATCAACAGGTCAAATAACACAAATATACGATTTGAGAGTATTCGCAGTTACTGAAAGCTAGTTAAGAGCCAAAAACAATTAATAATAAAAAATCATGCATCAGAGACTAAAATCAACTAAAACACATCCCAGGGATTTAGTGTTTTAATGTCATGGACAGTCATGAAGATATAACTTGTGCAATGCCAAAATAAAAGTATCGACAGGCAGTAGGATAGTTAGGAGTTAACCTTTTAATAAATATGTATAATGTTATATATAGGTAGAGTAATTTTTATATAGAAAATGAACGTGGATGTGTATTTTTACATCACAAAAATACGTTTGAAAAGAATACAAATTTAGTTATGTTTTAATTTGCTGATGACAAAATTGATATTTGTGCCAATGTAAACTATATTCAAAGATCTAATTACATCATTGGTTAGATAACCTTTACTCATAAGTTTGTTTAAAGGTTCGATGAGTTTACACGGATCACATAGTGATTTCCGCGCTTTTAGTACAATATTACCGTAAAATTAGGATGTGAAATACCGTTTTGAATAAGTTTTCTACAGGTACAGCCAAATTTACTAATCAAATCTTTGTATCTATGAAAGAATTTAGTAAAAGTTTTAAGTAATTTATGATAACGAAATCCCTGACTTAATAATTTACCAGTGATACATTGATTACGTTCGTTAAAATCTATGACATCACTACACACACACCGGCATAACGAACGAGTTGGGATAAATAAACACCGTATGATGGAGCCAAATGAACATCACCGTCTAAAAAAGGAAAATTAACAATAAGGAATGAAAAATCGTCTTTTTTGTCGTAAATTTTAGTATTGAGTTTCCCTTTAAATTGAAATGTCTAAATCTAGAAAAGAACAACTACTGCTGTTTATGTTAGATTTATTTTAAATAAGTTCCTTTGGGTAAATTTCGGTAGTATATTTAGAGAACTCTGGATTATTTAACGACAAAATATCATCAAGATAACGGTAGGTATTGTGAATCTATCAACTAAATGTAACAATGACGTGTCTTTACTGAGTTTGGTCATAAACTGATATTCATAGCAATACAGGAATAAATCTGCTATTAAAAGGGCGCAGTTAGTGCCCATAGGAATACATACTACCTGTCGATACACTATATCGCCGAAACGTACATATATGTTGTCTAGGAGAAAATTTAAAGCGTCAATCATATCGTCACATTTCCAGTAAGTGTATCTAGCATACTTTCCTTTTTTCGTTACAGAAAAAGGCTTTAAACGAGTTACAGCAAATAAATTTGCAATGAGATTTTTCAAAAGACCATCTAATTAAATATGAAAACTTTTCTTGATAAGATTGTGTGGAAGTGTTCTGTAGAGAGTAGAAAAATCATAACTGTCAACAGAATTAAAAGGACAATAAAAAGCACGTAGTTTATCTAAAACCTCTAAAGAATTTTTAACACTCCAAAAATAATTAATACCATTATTTTCATAAGCTTTAACAAATTCTTTGATAGTAGTAAGGGAGGTAGTTAGAAGCACTGACATATTAGTAGTAGAACACTTACAAGATGCGGAGATGAAACGGAATTTAAATGGTTGTTTGTGTAATTAAGGTAACCAGTACATAGTCGGGACTTTCAAATGTTCGGAAGAAGCTTTAAGCTGGGTAGTGGCAGTGATATGCTTGTTTACAATTTGACTCTCTGTGGAGCGTAGGGACCCGAATGTAGACGAATTAAAATTTTCGTTTTGGAGAACTCCCGTATAGTATATGCGTCACACCATCACTACATTATTGGCTGCTTTGTCTGCCGGTACGAACACAAACCGCTGTGCGTGTACTTGGAGTTTTTTTTTTATTCTAGAAATTGGTATATCATGGACCCTATTATTAATTTCAGAATTGTCTTCAAAGTGAGATATACGAATATCAACAGTATTCATAATTTTATTCAAATAACTGAGATTTGTTATCAGATTTTTCACGTTTACACCAATTTTTACAGTAGGCAGACAAAGCGTATTTAATGACCCGACGCCAATCTATTATAGATGAAAGACGATATTTAGGGTCCTTTCTTAAGAAAAGTTTTGACCTCACGGTCTTCGACGATGTTGAGGTCTCCTGTAATAACATGACCATAGAGAACTAATCTAAAACTAGTTGTGTCACAGTCTCAAGTGGAAGGAGCATTATTTTCTATGTTGACATCTGATGTAACTGACGTATAATTAAAAATCAAACTTCTGCTGTTTTTTTTTTATAAGAATACGAAATAATAGGTGGTTCTGTATTATCAAAATATGGAGATATTTGGCTATAGATGGTAGAGTCATTGAATATACTAGATAAGTTAATAAAATCAATACCTCTATTTATATATTTTAATTTAAGAAAATGCCGTTTATGATTTTCAGGTATATCGATACTAGGAAACAGCCTGTGATGACAATAGGCTGTATTAATACGGGTGTGTTCATACAACGGGCTAAAAATGAAATTTTATCACACTCCTGAAAAATAGCATATAATTTACTTATTGGTATATGACCCAGTTTGCATAATACTTGATGTCTATCATTATTTTTTATTATAGATAACAGATCAGCAAGTGTATAATTTATACGATGTTTAATACGTTTATTACGGTTTTTGTGTTTACTATGAGACCTATTATGTCTTAGTCGTTTATCGACAATATTAATGACATCGATAGAAGTTTAGATATGTTCCCTTGTCCAAATTTACATTTGACCCCTTGATGTCTTCTGTATTTTTTACAACATGTGCGAAGGAATTATTGTAAAAATATTAGATTTTTCTTTAACTTTGTAAAAACTAGATAATGCACTAATCATATAAGTAATAGCAAGAACAACTAGTTATTCGTTGTTAGCTATGAAACGATCTTTTAGTCCAGTCTTAACTTTAATAATATTTGTGTTTTTGTTGTAGTAAATATTATCTCGGTTTTGATTATTGTCTTAATGCAGTATAAAGTTATCATTCAAAAAGTAGTAAAAGTTCATTTGGTTTCCTTCATTTCAATTATAGAAAATTCGAATGTCGATAAATTATCAATGATTGACAGAACAACACACAAATTCATGAATGGGCGTATCGCATGAAATTTTTTTATCAGCGTTGTGAATATTTTCAGTGATCAAATAATTGGATTTGTAATCCTTTTACTTACCTTGGCTTCAAATATAAAATTAACATAATGTGTTATTTTCATTTTATATAAATAAAGTAGAAAATTGCAATGAACTATATTCTTTTTTCGTGCGTCGTTTTCACTCCATTTTATGCAACGTTATGGACACCGCTTTGATAACAGATATTGTTGTATGACCTCAGGGAGATTACATGTGAAAAATAGGTTTTCATTTCATTTGGGATATCACTTTATTTCATCGTTACCAATATAATAATATATACTTAACTGAAATACCCTTAGTAGTTTTGTGGAGAGAAACTTTCCTTGGTGACATTTGACTCTTATTTGGAAATGGACAATGAGGGTGGTTGAGAACAAAACTCTGCGACAAAAGAGATGATTTCAGTTTTCCATTTGCGAACCTTCCATTTCTATTTAGCAACATTCCAGCAGCGCCTGCATACGGAGTATATATCTCTTGTTAGATATTCCAGTGCTTGCATTCACTATTGAAAGAGGGTTACCACTAACTAGGGAGCTATTTTTTAACAAAAATTTCCATGTGGTTAAATTGAATTCATTCCTTGGAAAAATTTATGGACGCTATCACGACTTGGTGGACCATTCCGGAATATCTGTTTCACTGATGACAACGAGTGAACAAAGTGTCTTAACCACAAACCCGTCCTCCTTTCCTCAAATGTAACCTACAGAACTTGACTTATCACCAACTTTTACTTAAATGAACAAGGTCAGCGCCACAGGTGGAGCAGGATCTACTTACCCTTACGTAACAACTGAGATCACCCCCTGTTTTGGTGGGTTCGTGTTGCTCAGTCTTTAGTTTTCTATGTTGTGCTTTGTGTACATTTTTTTGTGTTTTGATTGTTTTTCGTTTTTGCCGTGGCATTGTTAGTTTTTTTTTCGATTTGTGAGTTTGGATGTCCCTTTGGTATCTGTCACCTCTCTTTTGCACATCATATAATCCACATTTATAATTGAGCAGAAAGTATTGGCTGTGTTGATTGAAATTATTGACGCCTTTATCAGGATGTGCTTAGTTTACAAAATATTTCTTCAGATAAATCATCACATAATGACATAATACGGTTGAAATAAATATCTAGAATTCAGCAAACAAGTAAAGTTTCTTTTACAGATCTGTCTCTAGTATACAAATAATGCACGTATTGGTCAAAACATAAATATTAGTATGCTCTGAAATAAATATATAAATATGAAAAAATATATATGTATCTTTATTGGTATCAAGCTATTCGCATTTTTATTGATTCTCTTTCATAATTTTTTATTTTTTTCTTACCTTACAGAGATGCTTTGATCACAAGTGCAATTAATTGTTTGACTAGTTTTTTCTCGGGCTTTGTCATCTTCATGATATTAGGATACATGGCTGAAAAAGCAGGCGTCCATATTTCTAGTGTTGCCCAAGAAGGTAGGTTTTATTGAAATGGCATTGCTAAAGTGATGTATACGCATGATCCTAATACATTTTCATTTAACTTTAAGCAAGGCTCTACCCATCAGCATCAGTTACAGTATTGATCGAGCTAGAGGTCGTTAAGATCAAAATTATCAGTAATATTATAAAATCATATCTGCGTTTGTTTGTATTACATGTTGGTATGATTATAGAACTGATTTTTTTCATTTTTTTTTTGTTTTGCACTAATGTGTTAATTGACGTTTCTTAATTCATTATATGCGAAACCTTTCTTTCATTACAAAATTCCTAATTATCCAAATGATACCATATATGCAATAAACGATGTGATAGATTCCTTAAATTTCGATTATTACTGTTAAATGACGAAAAAGTATTTTGCCGAAAGCTCCGACATATTCATTAACTTTGTAATTGCAATAAGTTTTAAGGTCAGAAACCTTTTATATTCAACTTGTAAATTATTTTTTGAATAATTGATGTATCCAATACATATAAATGATATATATAAATATATATAAAACTTTAGTGGAAATTCATATTCATGATAATAGTATATGGATATACAGTACGTATATTACATATTTAAAAAAAAAAACGATACAAATTAAAATACAGTCTGCAAATCGCAAAAAAAATGGTATAGATATATTTCAGTTTACAGTACTAATATCAATGTAATTCAAAATGTGAGCTATATTCAGCAAATTTGCAACTAAGCACACAATAAACAAGAAAAATACAATGAAGGGCAAACTTAAGGTTAAAGGGTATTGTTGCTTTTTATTTTTGTAATTAATGTATTGCTGTGGATTTTTACATATGTGGACTGGTATCTTCTTCCTGGTTTTGTCCACTATTCACCAATAGAACAATCTATTTGATAAGGAGAGTATAAACAGTATCGTTTTATGTTCACATACTTGTTAATCAATTTGCATGTTAAGAAACCAACTGAAAAAAATAAGAGAATATTATTACTTTTCAATGGAGCGATACTGTCTGTGTCGATCGAATAAACATCTCTGGCTATGCATCATCCGACATGCTCATCAAGACTTATTTAAAATTGTAAAAAGGGAATATGACACAATCGGTAAATGTACAGATCAGACGACATTTCTGATGTCTTCAAATATTAGACCTCGAAAACATGTCTCTCCGGTGATAAGACACAGACACTCACACTAAATAATGTTAACAATAATAACTCAAAATAAATATCATATTTCTATTTGCTTTATCAAAACTCAATTAAGGTGGTACCTAACACTACAGGGAGATAACTCTGTAAAAATCAGCTGAACGTTTTAATCACGTTGTATTGTTAAGGAAATATTAAGCTTCTCAATGATCAAAATTAGTGTTTGTCAAACTGCTATATAACCAATAAAATTTTTCTGATAAAGTGGTTGGTTCAAATATTTTGAATTTTTTATATTTTTGTCAAAGGGTCAAAGTAAACATTTTGTCAAAATTTTATGAAAATTAAACGAGCCAAATTAATATTAGTCAAGGTGTTGGGTACCACCTTAATTGGATTATTTGATGATGAGTTATTTGTATTGTAGGTCCAGGACTAGTATTTATAGTTTACCCGGAAGGAATAGCAACATTACCCGGTGCACCATTTTGGGCCGTTATATTTTTCTTGATGCTTCTCACTCTTGGGCTTGATAGTTCCGTAAGTAAATCTATATATAGAAATAGCTAACACCACCAGTGAAAAAAAAACACATGAAAATTCGTACTTTGATTTCAACTTATCAGTATTTTCTTGAAGAGCGCATGGTGAATATGTTTGATATTTTTTTTAAATGAAAATAACTGTCTGTACACTGCCATGTGCGTCATTGTGTCTCTGGTTGATATATAGTTGTCTCACTGGCAATTATACAACCTTTCCTTATTTATATTGATATATATTGTTAAATCACCCATCAAAATGCATTACTAGTGTATTGATTTCGATTGAGTCCAGAACGTATATGAATATGAAATATAAGATGAGGGTATGCTCCAAATGTTAATACAAGATTTCTTATCAACCCATAATTATTCAATCAGAAAAAAACATTTTACTTATTGCACTTCAACAAGATACGTAAAAAACGCCTAATATATGAAATCAATTTATACCGTAGCCAGTATGCATACATAGCGTATCGAACATCAACAGTGCAACTCTTAACACTTATAACGTTATTCTGTAACTGCTCTACATTTTCAAAGTAACACAGTGCCTATCAAACAAATGATTGGTTACTGAGAATACTGTGTAAGTTTAAAATTGATTAAAGGATATGACAAAAAATTCGTATCAACCAGACCGACGTTCTAAAGATGAAATTCAAATTAATTTCCTGGTATTTGGAATGTGCAGTTTATGCGTCTTCGTAAAAGACTCTTGAACCAAACAGAATATCCAAAGTTCTGATATTCTTATAATGCAACATACTTACTTATTGTCCAATTAGGTGGATAAGTAGAAAATAGAAAACTTTATTTTGTTTAACATTTTTTTGTAGTTTGGAGGTTCAGAAGCAATCATTACAGCCTTATCTGATGAATTTCCTATATTGAGGAAACATAGAGAGTTGTTTGTCTTCTGTTTGTTTTCTCTTTATTTTATAGTTGGCTTGGCGTTCTGTACAGAGGTAAGAATATCAAATTATCAGTCAGGTTTTCTTAAGTCAAATGTTTCGATGGTTCATTATCCAGGATTGCAATAATAAATATAAATATACCCTTTTAATGGGTTATACACAACATAACAAGTGAAGTCCCCACAATATCGAAGTTACCTAATTCGGGACTATTTGGCGCAAAAATGGTTAGTTATTATGTGAAGCACAATCGTCGCCCGGAAACCAGCATAGTATTTAGCGTTTATTCATCCACTAGCTAAAAAAAATTTTTGCTGTGTATTTATAGCCAAATCTTTCGGAAATTACCCTATATTTTTACGACAAAAAAAGATGATTTTAATTTTCCCATTTTGAAATTTGAATTTCTCAGTCATCAATTTATTATATTGCGACAATAAAAAGTAAATGTTCGCACCTGATGGTGTTATTTAGTACTCAATTAGGAAAGGTTTTTTTTCAGACGAGGAAGTTTGATAACACAATACTTTTTAGTTGCATGATTTGTCGTTTCTTTACTGACGAACGATACCAAAGTTTTTCCAGTAATGTGTTACCAAGTTCATGCATAACGAGGTTAATTTTCAGACAATTTATTTTACAGGGCGGAGTTCTTGTTGTGAACTTGATGGATAATTTTGCCGCTGGATATTCTATATTGTTTGCAGTTTTCTTTGAAACTATGGTCGTATCTTGGGTCTACGGTAAGTTATGAATCATAGTTCATATTTTTTACATGTTGTTCATTAGAGTGATGTTTTAAGCAGTAGATTGCTTTAGTTTCACTATTTGTAAATCTCATTTCTTTTTTTTTCCTTCCATATTTATTAGTGTTGTTTGTTTACACCAAACAAATTAAAAAACCTAAAAGCCAAATCTGAACTCCTACATTTTAGAATAAGTCGCTGTATTTAGTACAATTAGGTGAAGCGTACTGCAATTGTTGTGTTCAATGTCTCGTGACTCATATACACCTTAGGTCTTTTTTACTTTGGAAATGTTTGAATAGAATAAAATGCCATACACCCTGGTATTCAAAGTTTTAATTAACAAACACAAATTAAGAAAGAGTAATACGTTTAAGACAATATTGACAATTTTGAATGACGTCATTTATTATCAAAATCGATTTAATACTGTTGAACGTTTTCAATTTAGTACAAAAGTACAAATAATAGCCTTTGGTCACCACTCCAGTGTTGTCAGACTTGGATATTAACGTCAAAGGCATGTTTTTCTAATAACATGAAAGTAATATTGCTGTTTTGTGACAACTTATAGATTTGTTGTTTAGTCAGAATGGAGATCGTGTCCTATGTATTTACTGTATCTCCGAAGTGTCGACATTTCATTTAACTTGGCGTTAACATATTGCATAACTTAAGAATAATTGCTAGTGATGTCATATTTAATCTTGTTTGATCAAGTCTAAATGTTTGATTAGCCTTGTTTTTATAAAGAGAAATCAGTCTCATATTGTACCTTGGTAGTAATACCTTTTGAAAAAAATGATAATAAGTAGAAAAATAGAAGTTGAAAGCAGTCGTCCCTTATCAATAATTTAAACAAAATTGTAGCTTATCTTTTAGAAAGCATTACCTTTTGTCCTTCAAAATATTTAAATATTTTACAATGAAATGTTTACGACTTGTCTTATCTATATAAATTCCAATCAAATTTCCAATTCACCTCAATCAACCATAGTTTATTAAACGATTGACATGTGTCCGTTGTACTTAATTAAGAGCTTAATTGGGTTTTAACAACCACTGAGTTGATGCCATTTATGGGAACGTTTTGTTCCCAAGGGATGGTATTCTCAGCGCAGTGGTCACCACTCCTATACGGACATATCACAATGAATCATTGATACAGTCATTTTCTGTAAACTAAGGAGAATATGTTAACTTCACTTTTCGGTCCCTTGAATTGAATTCGAACATCAAAAAGAGTTGTAAATTTATCCAATAACATGTTTCAGGTGTTCATTAGACAGTAATCAGTCACATATCTGTATTTGTCTTTCAGAATTCTGTTTAAATATTTGAATGAGAGCATCAATTGTATCTCTTTAATGTATAACTATAGGAACTGCAAAAATAGTATCACTTTTTCAACAACACACATTAATCAAAGATGCTTAATGTTGGAAAAAATCATTTTTGGAAAGCATGTGCTAATATTTGGTTTGTAAAAAAATCAACGTGAAAAAATGTTTTCAATGATTCTCAACTACGTATTTGATTTTGTCTTTTATCCGATTTGATTTGAGCGCCACTGATAAACATACTAAATTATGAGCCTAGTATCTAACAGTTTTTAATATCAATTATAAAATAAGAAACATGACGGGTGCCACATGTAGAGTAGGATCTACTAACTCTTCTGGGGCACCTGAGATCACACCAGGATTTTTGATTGGGTTTGTGTTGCTCAGTATTTAGTTTCTATGTTGTACTTTGTATACTGTTGTTTGTCTTTTGGTGGTTTTTCGTTATTTTGCCATGTCATTGGCAGTTTGTATTCTACTTATGAGTTTGTATACCCCTATGGTATCTTTTGCCTCTCTTTAATTCTCATTTCAATTTTTTTGGACGACGACAGATGCAAAGTTTGTATGAGAAAAAATATAAATGTAAATACTCTGTCTCATCTTAGATCCACTTCATTTGAACTTAGGTGGATATTTGTCTCATTAGCAATTATACCACATCTCCTTATTTTATATTCAGTTTAGAATGGAATGGATCTAATTGTTTAATGCAAAATGAAGAAGTGAATTTATAAGTAAGAAACATGAATATAAGAATCAATCTTATCAAATATTTTGATGTCTAAAACATCTTTTCACACACAGAACTTAAATGTTGACGCTGCCGAAGGAGTGTAGCAAAGCTTTACCTTACATTTTGGTTTGACGTTACTTTAAAATCGTATAAAATAGTTTGCACACATGCATATAAATGATGACCCTTTCTTCGCATCTCGTCCGACTCCAATATGAATTGGTGCGATTAATTTTGTTCCCCTTTTTATTCGTCTGTTAATACCCGCAAGTTAATAAATTGACCATCGGTAAACTACATACATTTATGTAAACACACTGCACCGTGCACTTCTTTAAACAATGCAGTGAAAATATAGAAATGTTGTCATCAAACACAGAAAAGGTCGAAATCAGTGTCAGAGGTAGAAAGCTTTTTTAAATTGTCCCGCGTCTTAGACATATTGTGATCAACGAAATATCTGACACAGATACTTCATTCCAAAATAAAGAAAACAACACAACGCATTGAAGTGACATTAGCCAGTCTCTTATTCTCACGTTAGAAAAAATGAAAACAACACTTATAAATGTCATGCGTTCGAAGTGCATTTCTGGATTTACCTTTATCAGGAACGCTCAAAGCCGAATATTTGAAAGCCAAGGATATATAAAAACCGAAACAATTGAAGAGCTATATCACCAAAGGACCTGAAAAATAGCCAAATCCTTCTAAGGTTAACTTTGCCTGAAAGAGTTGAAACCTAACTGTTATTTCGATCAATGAATGAATGACAGATGAATTCGTGGGTTCTGAATGTCAAACATATAATGTACAATGCAGTTTCTGGAGAAATTTAAACTGGTGAAACATTATTTTGTGTTGATTGCAGGAGTAGGCCGATTTTCTGGTGACATTGAAACGATGATTGGACATGGACCTGGACCTTACTGGAGAGTCTGTTGGATGGTGGTTGCACCAGTTTTCCTCCTGGTAAGTGATTGTATAACTTTAGAATAAAAAATTAAAAACTAAATTCTTTTATTTTCGTTCGTTTATATAACATGCAAGGAAAAGAAATAATTCACGTAGCGTAATAGGGGACGAGGTTGCATGCAAAAAGTCTACATATCTCGGTCATATCGGTGTTACAACTATAGTCTTGATACAACCTAAAATATTCTAAATTGGAACTGCTTTGCCTACTGTTGTTTTGAAATTAAAACAGTTCTTCTTTGTTTAGATGTCTGGTTTTTTTTGTGTTGGCGATTGATATGATTTGTTGTATTGTGTAATACCTTTGAATACATATTATATGTATTTTTGATCAACAAAACAATCATTTGCTAGATATCAAATTTTCGTTTATCCCCAATTGAAAGATATGCTTTGCCTATAAATTGTATTCAGAAACAATACAAATTGTATTTGTTCTCAGTATGCAAGATTGTCACTGGACGTTAACACGCAAGTGAGCACATGGTTCTTGGTTATCAAAACCTCCCACTTGAATAAAAGTTTTTTTTTCAATTCCTCCCCTTGGTTGATATAGTCGTGCGTTTGATTATGCAAAGTTTTATGGACTTCCCACTTTTTTTAACCTTGGAGTTCGGTATTTTTGTTAATACTTTTTTCAAAACACGCTTGAGTAGTTGTGTTTACAGGCTCTTGTACGTTCAGACATCATTGCATTTTTCTTTATACACTCTATGTAATGTACATATCAAATATTGCGACAGTAGTTTACCGGTTTTCAAATTTCGTAAATCGATAAGGAAGAGACAAATCAAAGAAGCAAATGAAAACTGATGGAATGGCATGAACTTCAGGACTGAAACCGGGTAAGCGTCCACTGCTATGCATTGATCACCCGTCATGCGAGTTCACACCCAATCAAAATGTCACAATCGAGAATAGGACACACTTGGTACAGGGGAGATACTTGAACTTGTGGGGCATTGAATCCTTTTGTGGGTTCACTCACATTTCTTGTTTTAACACGCATTTTAAGTTAACAAATGATAGTTGAATAACTTTTGCATTTTTCGTTTGATTAATAATTCGCAATACTTTATGATTTTCATGATGAAGTTAATGAAAAACGAGAATATTACTTAATAGTACATACTAAGACGGATAATAGCACTCACAAAAACATGTACATTGTAAGTTTATATGTTAAACTGTAAAATATTCTTCCAGTAATTTCTATTTTTTCCTGAAACAGGTGATCATGTTGTATGGTGTAATATCATTCAAACCAATCACATATGCGGATTATGTATATCCCGATGGAGCAAATATCATTGGTTGGTTTGTGGCTGGTTCCTCTGTCATATGCATTCCATTGTTTGCCCTTATAGGGTTTTGTCAAGCAAGCGGGTCTCCAGTAGAGGTAACTATGATAATTGTTTTGCAAGCTTCAGGGAACATACACAGTTGATTAACATTCATATTATTGTCAGTCCCTAGTTTGAGGACATATGGAAAACACATCAAGTACCTGTCCATGTAAGAATCATACAATGGGTGATACACTGATAGTTGCAAAAGTTGATTCTATATCATGTGTATGGCTGATTTGTTCAAATACGGTGAAAAGTTCACACAAAAAAAAAAAAACACTTGTACATCATTTGGTTGCTTTGGTAACAATGTCACCATAACAACTCCTTTAATTTCCATAATTTGCTTTTTCCCTTTAATTTTCCAACAACATTCTAAATTCTAAACGACTGGTAAAATATAATTGCCAATGGGTAATGGCGAAAATATACTGTAACAAAAAAGTATACAAATAAATGATACATCAATGGCAACATCAACATCAATATATGTGGTAGTTCAATCTCCCACATTTTTTTATATTAGATCAATGAAAAAACCTGAAATGCACTGTAAGAAAATAATATCATTTTTGAAAGAGATATCTTTCTTGAAGCATATCAGATGATACAGATTTCTAAAGGAAAATACATATAGTGAAAAACACAGTTTAGGCTACAAATGAAAGTTTTTGATATCATATGTAGAAGTGTTCCAGTTTTTTTCAGATTTCAAAGTATTGTAATTTTACTAAAGTGACCAGTAAAGATACTTAGCTTTAACGATGCACTTTATACAGAGGATGAATTAGAAGGGGGCGAAATGTGCATAGTTCTATCTTAATATGACAAAAATCTATATATTTGAAAACATTTTTATTTTGATCAAAACATCAAAACACACAATATATGAAAATATTGGAGGAACTGGTAATGGGTCATGAATCAGTATTTTTCAAATGTGCAGGATTCTTACGTGGACTGGTACTTAATAAGACAGCAATATAACAACACCTAAAATACAAACATCGTCAGGCCAAGTATATGTCTTGTTAAAGATTTCGAAATTTCATTTTTGTGTACTAGTATACTCCTGTCACGGTCAATGTCAATGTTGAACGTTAAATTTTAGAAATGTACTAAGTACTCCATCATAATGTAACCGAATTTGATGAACGTGTGATTTTTGGGTTGTATAAATGCTTTCTCACATGCAAAGTTGGCAATTAATACTTTTGTATCAATTGTTGGTATGTTAGGAGTCTGGACAAAAACATATCTTCTATTGTTGCTTATCTATCAATTATCTAATTAGTAAACGATTCATATAATCTACTCAACTACAAACGCATTTATAGTGCTAAGTAATAAAGCGAGATTCAACGAGATAGAGACAGTACATTCATTTAACAGTTACGTTTTGCAATGTTTTCTTTAAGAAATAGAATTTGAAAATGAGACAGCAAGAAATAAAAACTGTCCTTTTCACTTTAAACTTTTTGGTGGTTTATTAAGTCAAATATATATCATTTAAAGTATGTGGTCATGTTGATCTTTCTTTTTTTTTAATAAAATTATTCCATTAACAGTTACTTTTAAACTGATCAGAATAAATACTTTGAACTATATTATTTTAACAATAGAGTGCCTGTATCATTTACCTTTTTGCACTCAAATAACTTTAATTTACAGAGGATACGTTATTTACTCAAACCTACAAAAGACAGAGACAATTATATCACAGCAACTTACAATGATGTAAGAATGAATGGCGGAGCGGATGTTGGAGGAGAAAGAGTATAACTAGTCATAAGGTTATCATCACATGACTGCCAATTTACATATTCATGAAATCAGTAAGGACATCTCCATTTGATGGATTTAGTGAATGAGTTTAGAGTATACTTACTGTTAGTATTTGGTCATTCATGATGTGACAGTATGATTAAAGTGAAAACGAGAATTACATTTTTGCATTGTGGTAGTTCTGTCATGTTAAAGTTTTTGGCATATGTAATGTGTAATGAGTATTGTGAGAAACAAAGTTTGTATCTGAAGTTACCAAATGATGTCGCTTTCATTATTCGGTTTCAATACGACTGAATAGTTCTTGATATCATTTGTAGGTGTGTTTATTTTTCTTTTTAGTTTGAATATATCTGCCATAACATATATATTGTATATCTCGTATACGGCCTCAATACAGTATAAAATATTTAGATCATATTCAGTTTTTGGAAAGTAGATATATTAAAGAAATGACATAAATTGTATTGGCGAAACCGGTAATCTATTTGTTAATGTATTTAGGCTAAAAACAACCTTTAAGTCGTAATTCAATTCAGCTAAACAATGGTTTTTACATGTTGTGTATAGTAATTGACTGCACAATAAATTTTGTTGGTGTAGAAAACTTTTCCGAGCAAATAAATGTATCATAAGAGATTCAACTGTATTCATATAATTTTTACACAATTTCCATCTTAATTTTATTTGTTTTAACTAGAAGAAAAATATTCAACTTTATGACACTCACTGTATATATGATCAGAATTTGATGAATTATAATGTGCAATAATTATAATTGTAATTACTTAATGTATAATAATCTTGTTACATATTGATGTTTTATTATTCAGATTTGTTTTGTAAAATAAGTAATGTTGTGAATTGTTCTTACGTGTAATTGGCAATACTGAACAGTGAATACTGTATTGGATTTTTGTACATTTACTTACTCGTGTACAGAGGTATTCAACATGTAATTGAGCAGTGCATAACGATTTATTTCTATATCAAATCGTTATTCACCAGAGCAATAAGATATTTCTGTTTTCCTATGGATGTATATTTGTTGAAGAGTATAACTAATAGATTTAATGTCTTCTCTAAGCTACTTAAAATAATAACGGGTGTACTTATTTCCTGACATGTAGGTTCCAATGTATATATTGTCTACACTAAGAATCTGTTTGTTTTCACAAAATGTCATAAAGTTCCATGTATCTCTCTTTTGTGGCTAAGACTTATGGTAAAATTATTATTATTACATTTTTATAATGTTTACTTACTGTCAGTGACAATTCAATTTTTCGAATCCGGGATTTTTACAGAAAAGCAGCTTATGACGTTTTGAGTCGATTTCTGTCTTTCCAAACCAGGTTTTTTGGTAGTTTTGTCAGAAACCCAAGAAGAAATCATTTATTATATGCATTTGCGAAGTGCAGGTTTTGCACAATTAACGATTAATGTAATTTTTTTTTTCGGTTATTCAATTTCAGTTTTTTCCCTGTAAAGTCTATGAACATACTTACTCATTTGTCCTCCTTCCCATTCATGTTAAGACAAAAAATGTTACTATGCTCAACTATACATGCATACAGTGAGCAAATAAGAACTTTTATTGTTGTTTTTTATTTATCCGGAATTCGAACGAGTTTACCCATGAATAAAGCACAACTTAGCCATTTCAGACCGGCCCTTATTGTGGAAACAAATATTCTAATTGTTCTTTTTATAAAGATAAATTATGATGGCGAAACGCAATTGCCGGAGTTAAGATGTATAGAATAGAATTAAGATATTCAGCAGCCTTCATATCCAGAATAGGTCAAACCACAAATGACACTATAGTTTAACCTCTTCATAATCTCAAGAGTACTGTAAATTCAGAAATTATTGCGTGCATTTATTATTGCGATTTTTTAAAAATGGACAATAATGCGAGATTAATTATTGCGATTATGGGAAAATCTGCATACAGTATTATGTATTAGATATCAAAATGCGAGTTTTTATTATTGCGATATTCACCCAGTCGCATTATTCGCATTAATAAAAACATCGCAATAATTTCTGAATTTATAGTATTCCTTTCTCTAAAAGAAAATTATTAAAAACAACTTTACTCAAAATATATCAATTGTTAAGATATAAAAGGTATGAATTGTTATAATAAGGCATTTTTTTATATGTTTTAACTTTATGTGTATATTATATAGTCTTTTCAGTTTAGTTTCATTAAATGTACCAGGAGGCCTTTAGCCCGAATAGGTATATCTATTTATCACTTATAGGTGTTTTCCAGGAATTTGATTTTATTTTAAGATGATAATGATGATGGACTGGTGTTAAACGCTAAGAAGCATATCAGGACAAGAACATGTTAGAGTAAAATATACGTAATTCGGCTATATTTCAGATTGTTACAGAATTTTGTATATAATTTGATCTCGTTTCAACTGCTGCCTTTATCATTTTGGTTAGAGTGATGTCTAAAAAAAGAAAATTGCTATTTTGCAGTGTGTGACGTTTGTTTTGTATTTTTGACGTTTTTGTTACTCTGTATATCGAGACAATTTAGAAAAAAAAAACGAATCCGGTGACCCCTTGATATTTCCATATCATTAAACAAACTTATGATCAAGGAATTTCGAGAATTAGCAATATAAAGAAATAATACATTGTGTCACCACTTTTTATGCGCATTCTATACATTGATAGATCTATTTTATAACTACACGCTACTATGAAACCAACAAGGCGGCCTTTATTTTATGAGAAATAGTTTTTAAAGAACTATATCCAATTATATTTAATGGTATCATGGTGTTAGTTTTGATATAATAAAAACAAAGAGTATTCTTCCGATCATTTTCAATCTACTTCCAAAGTCTGTACATCAAGCATTTCCATCATCATTTGCAATATCCTCGCCAAAGCATAGAAACGCGGACATTTACTTTTAAAGATTAACACCCATCGACCCTATGTTATAGACGAACAATTATCTACAGAGAAGTGCCTTAATCGGTCTCTCTAGCAATATGAACAGTATTGTATAATGTTTATGTTGTTAAATGTTGTTGTTAATGTTGTATAGTATACATTTGTATATTGTATAATAAAATTGATAAATGTAATAAATAGTGTGTAATTATTTGATACTTCTACTATCAACTTAATTACCTGATAGCCTTTTATTTATGGGTTTTCTGTATATGATTATTGCAGTTTTAAATGGTCAATATGCGTTGCACTTACACCACAATTATTCTTCATGTTCGGAAAACTATAAACCAGAACATTTCCGCAACAGCTGTAAAATCTTTGGGGAGGATAAAACTGTTTCGAATTTTCAATAGTATTTTGCTAAGAATTCAAACTCGACACTTTGAAACGGTCGAATACAAATATGGAATCACAAATGTATATCTAAGGAGTCATCCAATATATGTGTAAGCTGTATGCAACTCAAAAAGTTTGGTGTCAGAACTCTTTTGTCTGGATTTTTGCCTTTGCACTACAAAAATGCAGCTTTAGAATAAAGTATCTTGCTTGTTAGACAAGGTTAACTGTTTGGGTATGGATGACGACTGACTATAATGCTATCGGAGCTCAAAGTGCTACTCTGTCGTGGTTCTAGCAGACATATGCTCCTCTTCATTATATATCGTCATTACTTCTTTTTTTTTGTGGAGGGAGAGGGGGTCGTGTTGCTAAGTCTTTAGTTTTCTATGATGTGTTTTGAAGGCTTTTGGTCGTATTTCGTTTTTTTGCCAAGGCATTGTCAGTTTGTTTTCGATTTATGAGTTTGAATATCCCTTTGTTATCTTTCACCTCTCTTTTATATTAATTTAGATGTAGTGTTAAGCATACATAATAATCAGATTTTTGTTTTGTTTCAAAGATTCTAGGTTGACAATTTAGTATGAAAGACACACCTTTCGTCTACATAAGATTAGTTAGTGACGCTCCAATTAAAATAGCAAGAAACACAACATCAAGTAAGAAGTTGAAGAGCATCGAAAACCAAAAATTCCAAAACGTTGTTCCAAATACGACTACGGTCAACTTTGACTGGGGTAGAAAAACCTTAGTGTTTCGAATAATTCAACATTTTGAAAACAGTAAATTTATAGAAAATAACAGTCTAAATAAAGGCAACAGTAGTATACCGGTGTTCAATTCATGATATGTCATGTCAGTACAGAAGTGTGGACAACTGGAATGGTAGCCTCGAGGACGAAGCGTCCACCAACAGTGATATCTACCAAGTGGTTGTTAATAACTTATCAAAGATACCATGCTTACAGTTTGGTATGACAGATCCATGTTTCTTCTACATGAGACTCATCTAAGGCGCACGAGTAAAAAAAGTTGAAGAGCTTTGGAAACCAGAAATTCAAAATACAGTTAAATGTTTTTAAATGACTAATGTTGTAAATACTGGACACTGACTGTTACTTAATGCAGCAATTGTTCACTTAAATCGTATTACCCAAACTTTTCATCTTTTTTAACTTCACCAATAAACCAATCTTATAACCAAAACTTTTCAACTTTTTTCAACTTTACCAATAAACATTAAAATACAATCAAGGTAAAAGTACCCTTGTAAGACATACATTGGTGTTCCTTTGTTTTTGATTTTGTCAAGTGAGTGTAGAGATTTTGTTGTGTCATAAATGGATAAAGAATATCTTTTTTGTCAATATTAACCAAATAAAGATTCTATAGAGGAAAATAGAGGATCCGAATCCCGTCAATGATCGAATAAACCAAAGTTATGTGACCTCTTTCTTATAGTAACAAAATATGAACTTTACCTTCAGCTGTTGTTTGCTCTTTGGTCGGGTTGTTGTTTCTTTGATATATTCCCCATTTCCATTCTCAATTTTATTTATATTTATCAATGCACAATGCAAAATATGTTAAGGTCAAGTGAATTCTGACAGACAGGTTAAGGGCAGGTCAAGCACTCATAATCATGCTATAGAAATAATCAAGTTTACGTAATTTTCACAGTAATCAACAGACCTTATTCTGCAAACTTAATGTGTTATGATAAAAGAAATATGAAAATGAAACCAACGTCAGGTGAACCTTGTTGAACGTTAAATGATTGTATGTCAAATATTGGTTAAGGTAAGATTTACTCTGGCATAGACATGAACCCTTTAACAAGAATACAATTGTATTTGCATACAACGAAAAGCAAATGGGAATAAACTCATCATAGATACCAGGATTAAAATTGTGCATGCCAGACACGCGTTTTTCCAACAAAAGACTCATCGCTCGAATCATAAAAGTTAAAAAGGCCATATAATGTTCGAAGTTGAGGAGCATTGAGGACCCAAAATTCCGAAATATTTTGTCCTATACAGCTAAGGTAATTTATTTGTAGAAAAACTAATCGGTAAACAATATTTTAATGAAAGCGAGGCCAAGGACCGATGTATCCTGTTAGACAAATATGTATCTCTTACGATGCCTAGGGCCGATGTATCCTGTTAGACAGATATGTAACTCTTACGATGCCATGAACCGATGTATCCTGTTAGACAGATATGTATCTCTTACGAAGCCATGGACCGATGTATGCAGTTAGACAGATATGTATCTCTTACGATGCCAAGGACCGATGTATCCTGTTAGACAGATATGTATCTCTTATGAGACCAAGGACCGATGTATCCCGTTAGACAGATATGTATATCTTACAGTAAATCTGCAGACGAAACGGCGTTGAGCTTTTACTACATAGTTATTGTAATTACACACTAACAGGCTCTATCGATGTACGGTTAATTTTCACAGGTCTCACTACAAAAACCTTCCAAATGTCATGATGATTAACAGCAAATATCCGGGTTTTAGTTGAAACTTTAAAGGTCTTTCTTAATTTCGACAAGGAACTTTTTGTGCCATTCACATGTAAATCACTGCTGTATTTTCAAAGTTATCATTCTTTACCACCGTTTTTAATTCAAGAGAAATGGTCGTCTCTTATCGGGCTAATATTAATGACAAGTATAAAAAAGAAGCTACCATATACTACAAATATGAAAATCACACAGAACAAAATCTTGCAAATAAAAAATAATAGATACTGATGGAGTGATTGCAGTTTGTCTACAATCTAGAAACAAAGATATCAGTCCCTATTCAGGATCAGAACACTACAAATATGAAAATCACACAGAACAAAATCTTGCAAATAAAAAATAATAGATACTGATGGAGTGATTGCAGTTTGT